AGGTTGGTTGTGATTTACCCCACAGCAGGAGGGGGGTTTTCTGTAAGTTGAACCATAAACTAAGTGTGTGGCCTGTAATTTGCCTCTATATTAAAATGAGAGTGAGGTAAATCTTTTGATGTTGCAAGTTAAAAGGGCAAATCTTTAATTTGTAAATATCAAGACAATGTTTGGAAGCGTTTTGGATGTTATTTTGATTTCATTTTGAGGAAATATGTTTGGGGGTAAGAACTTGAGAATGAAAGTAATGTTTGTTTGTATTTTGGATGGAGACAATATACACTGTAGCAGTCAAATCAGTGTTTAAGAGTGTTAGAAAAAAGTATTTTTGAAGATAAAAATTGAATGATGAAGTAATGTTTAGTGGTTTCTTAGTGAATACATTTTTTACTATAGCAGTAAAATCATTTTACTGTAGCAGTCACATCTTGTCTGAAGGAGAGAGAAACTTTTGAAATTATTTTGAGAAAATGATTTGAAAAGTGTAATAAATACAATTTTGTTTGGGAGAATCAAGGGAAGCAAAATAAGAATGCTTCCAACATCTTGGGCGTTCGAACATTTAAAAAAAAAAAAAAATTTTTTTTTGCACTGGACGCCCAACTTGGGCGTGCACTGCATGAATGGGCGCCCAAGTTGGGCGTTTACGCGTTTTGGGGGGTGTTTTTGGATTTTTTTGGAAAGTTTTGGGGTTTTAGTGAAATAAAGTGTTTTTTTGGGGGGTTTTGTTAGAAACCGCAAATAGCAATTTTCAAACCGCAAAAAACAATTCCCTAGAAAAATTCACATAATAGTGATGTTTATGAATGAATAATTGGCCCATGAGGCCTAATTAATATGTGATGTTTATGAATGAATAATTGGCCCATGAGGCCTAATTAATTAATTATAATTTATTTTTTGAAGCCCAAAACAAAGGCTAGAGATTTATTTAAAAAAGCCCATCAAATACATTTTATAAAAATTAGTTGTCTTGCTTATTTTATTTTTGCTAAAGAAATTCCAGTAAAAATCATGTGAACTGTAATTTTATTTTATTTTTGTTATTCGACTATATGAGGTACCATTATATTGTTTGCCTAGTTTGTATATAGTTCATAGTCCATTCAATTCAGTATTCTGATTTTTTTTAATTTTTGCAAGAAATTATGTTTTTTTTAACAGAAGAACGCCTGCAACCTGTTTGATGGTTTGTCACCGAGACGCTATTTCAAATCAGGTAGTGGATAATAACCATGAAAGCAATGATTCTTAAAGCACTGTTTAATTCTATTTCATGTTGGACTATACTGCAATTTCTTCATGCTTAAATCATTCGTGCTTTTCGATTTCTCTGAATACTTGATATTCTTAGCTGATTTGATAAAGATACTTTTTTAATTTACGTATTGCTTGTTTTCAGTCCAGTGTTTGAGGTGTCCGGATAAACAACTCAGTTAAATCTGCATGCATGAATAAAGGAAGGCAATGTTGAGGAGTGATATCGATAAGTCGAAAGTTTAGTCTGCGAACTGTCGGGTCATATGCATATACATGAATACAGAGTACTGCTCAAAATAAGAGAATAAGCTGAAGTGTCGTAAATTACGTAGGAATGAAGATTATCTCACAATATTGCTGTATATGTTTATCACAGACAGAACAGAACAGAACAGAACAATCAATTTGATTCATGACATCAAAGATATAGACAGAACAATCGAAGTACATATGGAATATAGATCATTTCGTTAAGTTGCAGCAATGTGACTAAAACTAGTCGGTTGGCTCGTTGCTGATTGCTAATAGCACCAGATAGTAGGAATAGTAGGATACATAGCGGAGCACCGGGTTTCTTGAAGTAAAGGGAGTGCATAACGGAAAGAGGAGGATGGACAAAATCACAAGAAACGGGATTCCTATGACTAATACAATAGTACCAAGCCACCTGATTTTGCTGACGACTAGGAATACCCCTGCCATGAAAGCCATGGACATCATAGTAAGAGCAATCCCAAGCAAAGGCAGGGCCCACATGAGGACATTGATCACTAAGGCGAGATCGCCTAATTGACCCCAAATTAGAGCCACAACGACAACGATGGAGCTGTACATTGCTATTGTGTCGCAGAAAATGAACAAATGGAATCCCTTGTGTTTAATCATTGTTGCCATTCCCGCTAAATCTGTGTCGGAGCTGTTATATCCACCTGGCAAAGTGAAGCCGGCTGCAAAGGTGACGGTGGCAACGAGAGTCGCTACAAGCAAGAGAGTGTTAACTCTGTCCTTGTAGTTTTCCAAGTTTGAGCTCCTTATTGAAGTCTGTCTACGTATGGTTTTGCCGGACATCGATCGAGGGGTGCCAGCAGCTACCAGGGGAGCCCAAGTTAAACGCTGAAAAGGAGGGAGTCGAGAAATATTAAACCTCGTTTCATGCTCTCTGTATGCAATATTAAACCTTTATAAAAACGTGATGCATAATTTGGATAATGATGTTGAACTTGCATTGTGCATACCTGGCGAAACGGGGGATTATCCGACATGTGACACTCAGCCGTATCTAGAGCTGTCATCCCCTTGTCATCGACTAACTCAATGTCAACTCTGTTGTCCCATGTCAATGCACTGACAATTTTGGGGTGCCAGTGCGTGGTGGCCAAATGCAAGGGTGTACTTCCGTGCTTATCTTTCATGTTTATAAGGTTCTCCAGACCAGGATTCTTTAGAACGTAACTAACAATGTTATATCTTCCATTCTCAGCAGCAACGTGCAAGATATTGCGGCCACTGTTGTCGAGCAACTCCTCCGCATCGTACGAGTGTTGAAGCAGAAGCTCGACAATACCAAGATGGCCTCCCTTTGATGCTAGGTGAATGGGTAAGGAACCACTTTCGTCGTGATTTCTTTCATTGGCACCGGGAGTGTAGTGCTTTAGCAAGTCACGAACAACTTCAAGATAACCTAATGAAGCTGCATGGTGAAGTGGAGTTCTCCCTTCGACATCTCTTGATTGCATGATACTTGGATTTTCATACATCAATTCCAAAACTTCTGGTATTCGAAAAAACATCGGTTAATAATTAGCAGTATACATATATATATATTAACATGACTCTCAATTTTGTCATGATCTTTCATTCATTCTTGGTTAGATGGGAAAAATGAATGAAGAAATATGCAGCAAAGTTCGGTGCATGCATCAAGTGGGGCAAAAAAAAATGTTAATTATGTAGAAATACCTTCGCTCTTCCCCTCCATTGCTGCTCGAATGGGAAAATTTTCCTCGAACCCTACATCCATGTGGCGACCTTGGAAACAATTTGCAAAACCGGCTTTGGCTGCCAAGTAGAACGCAGATTCTCCTTTCTTGTTTTGGATATATAATCCCGCAGGATCGTATTGAATCAAGTATTTGGCAATCGAATCCCACCCGTGGATTAGTGCTTCATGCAGGGCTGTGTTTCCTCTTTCGTTCTTTGCCCTTAATAGATTGTTCTCATCTGCTTCTGAACGTTGAGACATTCGGAATGAAATTGAGTGGCGATGAATTTGCACCAGGGCAGTCACAATTGATTCATGTCCAGCTTTTGCAGCAAGATGCAATGCAGTGTCTCCATTGTAATTCTTGTTCAACAACAGAGGTGGATAATTTGCTCTTACGTAATCCACCACGTCTTTATTCGCATGCTTAGCTGCCACATGAAGACATGTATTTCCAGCAGGAGTCGCAGTAAGCAGAATCTCCTGAACTGTTTTGTGTTCTGCTGCTGAAGCTCGATCCAGCATTTTCACAAAATCGTCGAGGCTGCTACATGATTTGGATGCCTGGTACACTTCATACTCACTGTATATGTCTGTCACATGTTCATTATTTTTCGAATTTTGGGCTCCGCTTTTTGAATCTTTTGTTTTTATTTTGAATTTATGCTTCTCCTTCGTTTCTCTAGTACGTATATGCCACCTCCCTTCTATCATCTGCAAATCTGAAGTTGGCATCTCTCTCTCTCTCTCTCTCTCTCTCTCTCTCTCTCTCTCTCTCTCTCTCTCTCTCTCTCTCTCTCTCTCTCTCTCTCTCTCAAACTTGCGAATTTTCAGCTGATCTATCAACTTCACAAAATGTTGACCAACACGATTATAGCATAAATCAAATAATTTAGATTTAAGTTCAAGTGGTGGAATGGTATCATATGGAATAAAGTAGTTTAATTTGGAATGTCAACTATCTCTGAATTATGAATCTGATTTTTCAAATCATTTTGTGAGTTTTTTCTCAGAGTCTACAATCCAATACACGAAAATTCTTGAAAAGAATAAATAAAAGAAAGCTTTACTTGTTCAATTTATTGGCATTGAACTCGTCAATTCTCGAATAATTGAAGCTATCTTAGCTTATTAATATAACTAGTCAACTCATGTTTTTTTAGTACTCTGACTTTTTTTTTTTTTCATTTTTCATCCTCGATTTTTTTTCTCCACCTTTTTCATCTTGCACTATAATGGTATTGGACGAAGAAAAGCAACTATATATTATCTTGCACGTCTATTTTCACGGTATAAATTTATCTACTAAATGATGGGTTTTTCGTAAAAGAATATATAGTTAAGGAGTGGTTGTAATCATCCAAACAAAAAAAGATTATTTTATAGTTTGATCATACTCTAAGAGGGTCACGGTTATTTGCCTAGATAGAATTTATAATCGAGAGAAAAAGTGATTTGATATATTAGTTAAATTATGATTTTTTTATTCGTTAGGATCTTTAATATTTGGATTCAAATTAAACTACCAAATAAAAAACGAGTTTATTGCATTCGACACCCATGGTTCACTCAAATTAATGAAGAAAAAAAAATACCCTAATTATTTTATTAGCAAAAAATCTTTTTATGATGCCTATAACTTCAGTTTATTGAATAGTTGGCCCATGTGTATGAATGAGTAGTTGGCCCATGAGGCCTAATTAATTATAATTTATTTTTTAAAGCCCAAAACAAAGGCTAGAGACTTAATTTAAAAAAGCCCATCAAATACATTTTATAAAAATTACGGTCTTGCTTATTGGAGTTAATTGCAAATCTACGTTATTGTTATGTAAACATCAGATGAATTCAAATGAATTGATTGTGGTTTTACGATGTTCGAACTCAACGAGAGTCCTACGACTCGATAATCTGCATGAAAAACCCTAACCCCTCACATATTCTCTCTCTCACACACACAAAGTGTTTCCCACTATTCTACACTCTATCGACCCTCGTTTGTCTTGCAATTCAAGAAGGATGTTTCTATTATTCTATATATACTAGTTCAAGTCACATGATCCCATGTGCACTACATATCTGCCAGCTAATAAGATTAATTTATTTCTTTTCCGATCCTCCAAGTCACGAGCTGCATATAACAACCTCCATGCACTCCTGACATGCACAACTGCATATTCATTATCCATGACTTCAACCTCAGGTTGATCAGTTGTTAATCCAATAATTAGAACCTCGTATTAACAAAAGTATACATGATAAAGTGCAAAATTCAATTTATAGTGGAGGAGAAAAGGTTAATTTGATTTAATAATTCAATTATAATTTATTTATTTTTCAAGATCTTTTATTTATAGTGGATTTATTCGAGAATTCTCATTAGTTAATTAAGTGAGATAAGTGATCCATCAAAAAAAAAAAAAAAAAAAAAAAAACAGTAACGGCACGAATCCCAAGAACTGGCACAACACGAGGCTGAAATCAAAGCAGTGGTGGTGTAAAGTGTAAACGGAAATCCCCACCAACCATTACAATTATTCGCAGCTCATAATCACACTTTCTCACATCGGAGCAAAGATCCCACCAGAATCAATCATCGCCATTGTTGGGTGATTGATTGATTTTCAATCAATGCTCCTCCCAAGATTAGCTGAAAACTGCTGTTTGTTGAGCTTGAGTTTGCTGGTGTGCTTGATAACCGCCGCTTTAGCTGCAGACCCTTATGTCTTCTATGACTGGACCGTCTCTTACATCACCGCCTCCCCTCTTGGCCTCAAACAACAGGTTTCTTCTTTTCTCTTCTTCCGATTTCTTCTGTAATTAATTGTTCATTTTTTTTTAGGGTTGTCTTAAATTCGATTTTAACTAGCTTTTATTTATACTGCTCTGGAACTGCTGCATTGGTGGGATTCTTGAATGTTTTAGGCAATTACTATCTATTTATTTGCTGGTGATGGATGCTCGGGTTTCGGTTTCGGTTTTTTCTGTTGTTTTAGGTTTACCAGTGTGTAAATTTTCTGATGCTTGCTTGTTGGTGTTCTTATCGAGCTTTTATTCTACATTAGGGCCTTGTTTGGCTGGTGAGATTAGTCATTATTAACGAAATAGTTCGACTTTGTTTAATGTTTGGTATCCCGGTAACTTGCCGGGTCGATCCACAAATATTATGCTATCGCGACTTATCTTGCCTTCTAGGCATGTTTTTTACTGGACTTTCCAAGATCCGATAATACAATTGGGTTATATTAGATTATTTAATCTTATCTTGGCAACCAAACAAGGCCTTAATGGATATTGTTTAATGGATATTGTCGGTAGCGATAATTAAAAACTCTTTGTACATGTAATACGGAGGCTGTAATCTTGAATGATATAAAGCTTTTATCTTCGGAATTAGGACTGTGTTATAGCTTAGTCGAACGATATTTTCAAGATTTGTTCCGTTATATTATCTGACTCGTAGACATTTAAAATTCTTAGGTGATTGGGGTAGACGGAATATTTCCAGGCCCCATTCTAAACGTCACCACAAACTGGAACGTCGTCATCAACGTCAAAAACAATCTCGACGAACCGTTTCTTCTGACATGGTATTTAATTGTTTTTTTTTTCTTTTCAGAATTCTCAATGTTTCGACATTTAAATGACGATAGTGGAGTAACTGTTCTTGTAGAAAGTGCAGGAACGGCATACAGCAACGGAAAAACTCGTGGCAAGACGGCGTTTCCGGTACTAACTGTCCGATTCCAGCTGGCTGGAACTGGACTTACCAGTTTCAGGTCAAAGATCAAATCGGCAGTTTCTTCTACTTCCCTTCACTCGGCTTGCAAAGAGCTGCCGGTGGATATGGCGGAATCGTTATTAACAATCGAGAAGTTATTGCCGTACCTTTCGGGGCACCTGACGGAGATATTACCCTCTTTATTAGTGACTGGTACATAAAGAGTCATAAGGTCGGTCGTTTTTCGTTATTTCTAAATGCATGTATTCATTTATTATTTATATTTATGTTAGTTGCTGATGAAAGATTACGGAAAAACAGTCTCTCAGAAATGACCTGGAAAGCAAGAATGGGGGCCTTGGACCCCCTGATGGAGTCTTGTTTAATGGCTTAGGCCCTTATCAATTTGATAAAGCCCTCGTACGAGACGGCATTCCTTACCAAATAATAAATGTTGAGCCGGGTATTTTTTTCTGTTTGAAATTTGCGCTTTTAACGTATACTTTGTCTCTTTGTATTGGTGAAGTTGATGATATTTTAAAATAATACGAAATTCATGTTTTCAACAGGCAAAACATATCGCATCCGAGTCCACAACGTTGGAATCTCTACTAGCTTGAATTTCAGGATCCAAAATCATAACATGGTTCTTGTAGAAACCGAAGGTTCTTACACCGTACAGCAGAATTACTCGAACATGGATATCCACGTGGGCCAATCTTACTCGTTCTTAGTAACAATGGATCAAGACGCGAGTACTGATTATTACATTGTTGCTAGTCCACGTTTCGTTAATGCCTCAACTTGGACCAAGGCTTCGGGAGTAGCTATACTGCACTACTCGAATTCACGGGGCCCCGCTTCAGGTCCTCTTCCAGACCCTCCTCATGAATATGACACGTTTTTCTCAATGAATCAAGCAAGATCCATAAGGTTGTGCTCAATTGATGTGTTGCATTTCCGTTTATTTCGTTACTTTGTCAGTTTAGTGAAGCATTTTGTTTTTTTTTTTTTTTTGTTTTGTTAAATATAGGAGACGGGCTTCTTTGTGTTTAATAGAGAAACTAAGAATATAGGAATATAATATTTGCAATCGATGGAAATTACTTAGGAGTGGATATCGGAACGTAATTTCCAAAATCCGCCGATTCCAATCAGAATATTTCCGATTTTGGAACAATTTTTTCATTCCAAATTCCAAAAGTTCTGATTTCTATTTTTCCCTTTTTTTTCATCTTGTGCTGACTGTGCAATCAATGTTTTTTTCTTTTGGTAAGATGGAATGTTTCTGCCGGAGCGGCGCGCCCAAACCCTCAAGGATCTTTCAGATACGGACAAATAACCGTAACCGATGTGTACGTAATCCTCAATAGGCCACCTGAGCTTGTTGATGGCAAATGGCGTAATACTCTAAACGGAATTTCATACATAGCTCCCTCAACACCTCTTAGGCTTGCACAGCAATTTAAGGTCGATGGGGTCTTCAAGCTAGACTTTCCTAATCGCTTCATGAATAGACCTGCAAAAATGGACACGTCTGTAATTAACGGAACTTTCAAAGGGTTTATGGAGATTATATTCCAAAATAATGACACCTCGGTTCAGAGTTACCATCTTGATGGCCATGCTTTCTTTGTTGTCGGGTAAGAAATTAGTTTCTTGCGTAGTTTTTTTGGCATTTTCGTGGATCGTAAATCTTGAAAAAGTTTTGTGTTGGTTTTTCGTGTGGTTAAAAAACAGGATGGATTATGGAGTTTGGACGGAGAATAGCAGAAGCACGTATAATAAATGGGATGGAGTGGCTCGTAGCACTACACAGGTAAATTTTGAATAATACAGTATCTGATTATTAAGTTGTTAGTCGTCACTCGTCTCTAATTAAAATATTCATGCCTATGTTAATGGAAATCTAATAAGTTATTAACTAAACGACGTAAAAACTGATTATTAAAGTGATTCAACTGCTTCTGTTAATGATGCATAAGTGCTCAATTCCACATAAATCCCATTCAGCTACCAAGATTTCGTTACCCTCGAAATCGAGAATTCAAATGAACAAGTAGTTTTAGAGCTCGAACTCGAATAAAATACTACATAATAATAATAATACAAAGGAGGTATATAATCTCTTTTCCCAAACGAGGTCTAGGTTTTCTTCTATCCGTGCTTGCTTCCATTGGTTTACGTAATTATATGTTCTACTAATTTAGCCACTTTCTTGAAAAAAACACGTTTTCTTGATCCGATGAGCAGGTTTTTCCCGGTGCTTGGACTGCTATACTAGTATCTCTAGATAATGCTGGGATTTGGAATCTTCGGACACAGAATCTTGACTCGTGGTACCTTGGTCAAGAATCTTACATCAGCGTCGTGAATCCTGAAAACGACAATGACGAGGTTCAGTTGCCTGACAATGTCATATACTGTGGTGTTCTATCTCCATTGCAGAAGTAAGTCCTTAACAAAAAAAATAGTTTGTTTACCGTATAAAAATGGTCCGTCGAGAAATAAAAGTTGGATTTTTTTTGTTGATTTCCGACGAACTCTTCGTATTAAGTATTAACCAGTGTTGAATGTTACTCCTTTGCAGGGATCAGGCTCAAAGAGTTCATTTTTCTGGAGCGTCTTCTTCGGACAAAATAATTGAGATTGTTCTCATTGCGATTATTGTAACTTTATTAGGATTATCGGGTACGAGTTAACTCAGTATAATTAAATTATGGTTTCAGTGAATTCAAACTCGAGATGATAGTCTAAATGTACCGGAGATCTTTAGCCTGGTAATGAGGTGATACGAAGGCTATTTTTTTCGCTTGTGTATAATATTTTATTGTAACCTTTTTTCTTTTAGTTGTATCTAATTTGCGATTTCGATATATTATTATCGAAGGAATTTTGTATGGAAGTTCCGACTCTTGTGTTCCGATAATTACAAACTGGGTTCATAAATTGTTCGACATGTGTTCCGTGAGCGTCGGATACAAAACATTTCCGAAATACGGATACATTGAGAATTTAAAGTGTGTGTTACATATAACGTAGATGTTCGATGAAACTGTTCATCGAATACGCAGACACAAATTTAAATAGAAAAAAACAACGAAAACTATTTATCCATCTTCCACTTGAAACATTCGACATTCGATTGTCTAACTTATCAGCTGGACCAACAAATGCTTCAAACTATTCGGCTCTACCTCCATTGTTTTAGCCTTCAAGAACGAAAACAATAAAACAAAAGATTAAAATTATCAAGTTGATGATAATGCCCTTTTGCATGTCAATAAATCGACCACCGAAAAAAAAAAAAAAAAAACTCGATTGTACCTCCACTTTGAGAACAGTCAAAACCGATCCATTAAATGTGGTGACGTTTGAATCTGTAACTTGTAATCCCAAAGAATCCATGGCTTCCATCAACCTCGAGAAGCCGCCTCGCTTTTGCTTGCACACAAGTTTCACCAAGAAATCTCTCGTACCGAGTTGACTCACTTCAACTTGTACCTAATAACAAAGAATATGCCAAATTAATAATACGAAAAAAACGAAAAGAAAATCGAAGTTAAATGTTTTTTCGTCACCTTTATTGGTGTCATTTGATCACTAGGACCTTCCTTCTTTTTCTCGGCAGATTTGAGTTCATCGAAACTAACTTTATCGAAATACTCCTCTTCTTCCATTGCTTTGAGTTCATCTTCGTAATTTTCGATCGTCTCCAATAATTCCACTATGTAATCAGCCGCATCACCCAACGTTGCAGCTCTATCCATCTGCGGAAATAAAAATGTTGCAATTAAATTCAATCGTAAAAAGAATATAAAAAAGCGGTCGAAAATGCGATTTTTTATAAGACCTTTGTGATTTTGGGGACCAACGAACGAAGAGCAAACATTCCAGCTTTGATCCTCTTTCTTCGGTTCCTCTCGGTCACAAGATTCTTCGACTTGAAAACGCCCTTTTCCGGTTTCTGCGCAATCTTCGCCCCGTTTTTCTCGTTCACACGAGCTAACGCAGAATCCGTACACGATTTTTTCCGTTTCATTTTCGGAGGAGCTTGAGGCAACATGGTGAGCACAACGCTATCGGAGTTTAGTTTGGGTTCGTTCGAAAGACTCGAACAAGTGGAAGATCCTTCGAAGCTGGAATAATTGTTGTTGTTTGGTTGGGGAACAAAGTTGAGGAAGTGGCATTTTTGTAAATAGTCATTTGTATGAGGATTTTCAGACATGTTTGGTTGTTTGAAACAGAGCTTAAATCCACCACAAATGTAATCTATTATCTTCTGATCTTTCTGTACCTGCAATTTACAAAAATACCAACAACATTTTTTTTTTTAATATTTATTTCACCATCACTAAAGAATGGATTTTTTTGCATCAAAAAAATAAAAAATAAAAAAATAAAAAAATGTAAAATTCTTACATGCTTTGTGCTGAAGAGTTCTATCAAACCACAGGCAACTGGGATAAGAACTTGGGTTCCGTTTGGTTGCTGCATAAACGCATACTCATTTAAATTTAAAAAAAAAATGATAATTCTCCAAACATACAAACAGAGAATTATATATATAACATACATCATCTGAAGCAGATGGATTGTTGTGAAATGTCCATCTTGCCCTTTTGGAAATCACAACATCCCCATGAATCCTGTTACATTTCTTCAACCATTTCATTACAATATTCTTGATTATATGTATATAATATCCTCAAACAGAAACAAAACACATACAAAAACATATTGAATTAATTACCCAGAATACAAAGGAATGACAGGTGGCAACTGAGCAAGATAAGTGCAAGAAAGAGTTCTAATGGGGTGCTTAATCAGCTTATAATCTCTGCATTCACCAAATGAAAACTGCTTCTTCTGCAAACCCTTTTCATCCTTTACCCTAATCTCCGCACCGCTGCAGAAGCAGCTCCCCCACTCAATAAATCTGGGTTAGAAAAAAAAAACCCAAATCAAATCAATTTGATCAAGAACACTTCTTTATTTTTTCAAGAAAGCTGGTATAAATTAAAGGTACAAACAAAAGAGCAGAAAGTACTACTATTTATTACCTTGAAGGATCATCACCTAACTTCCAGATGACACAGTACTCCCATGGGTTGTTGTTGACTAGGGTTCTCAGCCAATCAAATCCTTCCTCTGAACCTGCTATTTGATCTCCACCCATTTTTTTTTTGAATTTTTTCTGGGATTGATTGATTGATTGATTTGTTTTTGTATGTATACACATATGCATGTATGTATATATAATATATACAGTTCTAACAGACTGTTTGGACGACAATCCTAACAGGCTATGCAAAAATGCAGTGTCCTTTACCCCTTTATCTGTATGAAATCTGTCAGAAGAATCTGATTCTCTCTCTCCCCTCTCTCTCTCTCTCTCTCTCTCTCTCTCTCTCTCTCTCTGTATATATATATATGTGTGTGTGTGTGTGAAAAAGGTGTAGAAAGAACGGTTCAAAAGTTTGAGTGTGATGAATATAATATGATCAGTTTGATATATAACTGCATGGCCAATAGTGGGAATGATGAATCAGTTTTTTTTATTACAAGAAATATAATTATGCCTTAAATAGTAGGACAGATTTTCTACCTTTTTTTCTTTTTTTTTTTTTTTTTTTTTAAATTTTATTTGTTTATATATATATTAATTATTATATATGGCGTGGTAAAGGGACTCAAAATAATGTAGGACATTGGGGGACAGAATATTTGGCACGGCAGAGAATATCTTGGCTTTTAGTACTGATTTTATTTATTTTTTGTTTTTGGAGGTACCATATGCAGTTATGCTTTTTTGGGAGGACTAAAGTATGAAAGTACATGTAGAAAATGTAATGGATAATCTTTGTGTTTTTATTTGAAATTAATTTCTTGATACCATCATATTTTGTTTGATCTCAAAGGAATGCAGACACTCGAAATGCACTGAAAAAACTCCACGCTCGTGCAATAACTCGCATATATTGATTTGTAATATGCTGATTTTTCTACTTCAAACATTTTCTTAGCGAAGTTCAAGAACATATAGACATTTATTGATAATTTTTGTCACGAGTTGATCCGACAAATTTTTAGATAATTATATAATAAAAGATTTTAACTAGAAATTTGAAAAATAAAGTAGAAATGGAGCATATATGCTTAAATTTCCGATTTAATGAGCTAAAGACGTAGAAGATATACAACAATATTATTCGTGCACATTCACAATGGCGGAACTTAAGAGGGGCAGGGGGGGCTGTTGCCCCCCCAAGAAAAAAAAAATGTTTTTTGCTACTTTTGGCATAATATTTTTTGAATATTAAATTTGCCCCCCCAAAGGTTTTGTAAATATGTGTCTTTACCCTTAATTTTTTTGTTTATTCTCCATAATTTTATATAAATTATAGATATATATCATATTTAATATAGAAATATAAAATAAAATGGTTAAAACTTGTACTATTTTTAAATAAAATTTAAGAATATATTTATTTATCGATCTTTGATTTTTTATATTAATGTCTTTAAAAAATAATACGAGACGGTGCCATGAATCCCATTAAGTGCAATATATTATTAGAATAATTTAGATGTTTTTGTCATGCTTGAAATATGATATATATATATATTATTTTAATTAAAAATTCGCAGTATAAACCTATTTTTTCAATGTCTTGTGAACCTAAAACTTTTTTTCGGGGCGCTGCCAGAACCCCGAAATTTTAGTTAGCCCCCCCTACTTTCTAATCCTGGCTCCGCCCCTGCACATTCATGTTCAGAGTCGACCGTATATTTTCGAATGCCCAGAGCGAGCTATAAAATGTGCCCCCAATAAATAAATTAACAAAAAAACATCGTAAAAAAAAATAGGGTCTCGTTAAAATATTTTTTTGAAAAAGAGTGCCCCTCGATGTCTTATTATTTTTTTTTTCTATTTTGATCTTGGGAAAGTTACAACCACCTCTCTGAAGGAAAGTAAAATTAACATAAAATTCCTTATGTTTCAGAAATTACATCCAACCCCTGTAATTTTTAGATTTCTTACATCCACCCCCTACAAAAGGGTGTTAATATAACAAATCTAAACATTTTAGGGCTAGATGTAATTATGGAAAAACAAGGGGTTTTAATTTACCCTTTTTTTTCTTTACTCTTATGGGCTGAATCAACTTGTGGGCCTGATAGTGTGTTACAAAACAAATGAGAAGCAGCCCGAGATAAAATGGCTGCATATAAAATCTGTTCTTTTAAACCTGTATATAATTTTTTTTTTTTTTTTTTCTAAGAATTGCTGGGTTTTTTTTAATGAAATCGTTAACAACTTAAAGAAAACGCTACTGAATAAATAAAAGAAATAAAATAACAAAAGGTATAAAAAATAATATTTTATTGTATTTTATGAATGGAAGAAAATATATTTTACAGAGAGAGAGACCAACAGAAGAACCATAGTTTGACTTGGCAGCGATCTTCTTCACTCAATTCTACTTCCCACCAACAATGGCGGCCTCCGCTCTGAAGATCTCTCTCAACCCCATTCCCAACGACGCATACTCATTTAATACCAGAAAAATCGCAGCATTCTCTATTAGCAGAAACTGCAATCCTTCTTTCTCGCGTCCAGCTTCAATCAGAACTCAACCGAATACATTCCGACCCGTTCGAGCATCGGCGTCGGGTCGGGTCTCCGGATCAACACCACTCACATTCGACGTGGTCGTCGTTGGAGCGGGTGTAATTGGATTGACCATTGCCCGCCAATTCCTCCTCGGGTCGAATCTGTCCGTCGCCGTCGTCGACGCCGCCGTTCCCTGCGCCGGCGCCACCGGTGCAGGTACTCAATTCATTTTTCACTTGAAGCAAAGGCATTGTTTCCTATTTATTGTTAACTTCACATTTATTGCGTTTGGATTTTGAGCTAATTGTTATTTTTAGGGCAGGGTTACATATGGAGGGTACACAAAACTCCGGGGACGGAGAAATGGGAGCTGGCTATGAGAAGCCATCAGCTGTGGGAGGCTCTGGCTGAGAGCATTCGGATTGAAGGCGTGGATCCGTTATCGGCACTTGGCTGGAAGAAGACAGGTAGTAATTCATTAGTCTCATCTCTGTGAATTCAACCAGTATGTATGTCTTGATCAAACATTCGATTATGAGGTTTTCTCGTTAATACGTCTCTGCATTTACGATTGTTGGCTTATGGTATTTGCAAGCTTAGTTAGTTTATCTCAAGTCTAGAAAAAAAGTGTTCAAGTGTCTTGACATTCATGAGATCTATTCTTTGGTTGATAGTAAATAGATTGCAGATGTAAATAATAACATTTCGTTGTTAGATGCTAGTTTTTGGGGATTACAATTTGTACCTTCCGTTTTCCGGAATTTATGTTTAGTTTCCTTCTAGAGAATGCATGAGAATCCTCGCAATTTAAGCATTTGATGGCTAAACAATTAAGTTTGATGCGCAAGCTCGATATGCTCTTCAGATATATTCATATAATATCTTATGCTTATATGTTCCACAGCTCGTATAACAGATAATTTGTTTGCCTAATTCCGTGACATTTAATATTGTTCAAGCGGAGGTCAAAACCCCCTTTATCCATTTATAGGTATAACTTTAACTATTATTGAATTTCTCCAGAATGCGACGAGCATTGTACTAATCACTGTTGCTTTCATTTGCAGGGAGTTTGCTAGTTGGTAGAACGGCAGATGACTGTTCTGTGTTGAGAAAGAAGGTGGAGCAGCTAGTGGATGCTGGCTTAGGTGCAGAATTCTTGTCTTCTGATGATTTGTTGGCAGAAGAACCAGCTCTTAAGCTTGGAGAGGAATGTGGTGCAGCTTTTATGCCAGATGACTGTCAGTTAGATGCTCGACGTGCTGTTGCATTTATTGAGAAGGTTCATCTTTCCGCCTCTGAGAAATAATATTTTTCCTGTCGTCTACCTTTTGGAAAATTATAATTACGTTACATAACTACTAGGGATGCTGTCTGATAGGCTAACAGGTACTTCGCAGCAGAAGGGAGATATGCGGAGTTCTATAATGAGCCAGTAACTAGTTTACTCAGGTTAGGCATATAGTCTTTGTCTGCTATGGTAGTCTTCGGGCTTAAGTCGAGTAATGATGATAAGAATATGTGTTTGGATCCGTTTTATCGATATCTGGTTTAGTATTGTGATTGGCATTCATAGAACAATTGAGCAACACTGTCTTGATAGTTCTTTTTCGATTATTCTCAGATCTGAGAGCAGCGGAGATGTTGATGGAGTTCAAACTTCCAAGAATACATTGTACTGCAAGAAAGCTGTTGTCATTGCAGCAGGATGTTGGAGTGGTTCTTTGATGCACAACCTTATGCAGAATTCTGAAATTGAGCTAGATCTCCCAGTAAGGCCTCGAAAGGTAAGATCAGTATTAACATTTTACTCTAATTTGAATTGCTTCAGTTCTCTCAGCCATCAATCAACCCTTGACTTCGAATTAGTTTTTTTGTCTTCGAATGTATAAAGACAAAGAAGTCAAGTTTTTCATTGGTTCATGTGACAGGGTCATCTGCTCGTTCTCGAAAATTTCAAGTCTTTTAACCTTAATCATGGCCTTATGGAAGTGGGATATGTCAATCATGAATCTGCAATCGTAAGCTCTACTTCATCAGATTCAAGTACTGGACATGATGCGAATACTGCATCTATTTCAATGACAGCTACAATGGACATGTCAGGGAGGCTTGTTCTTGGTAAACATTTGAGTTTCTGTTTGTTGCTCAACTCTCTCTCTCTCTCTCTCTCTCTCTATATATATATATATATATATATATATATATATATATATATATATATTATCCATGCACAGTAATTCATGAAAAATAAATTTATATAAAAGGGTCTTAAATCTTAATTCAGTTACCATTTAATAATTCCTTTTGTTACGAAATTGATATCTGTTCTTGCAGGAAGCAGCCGCCAGCTAATGGGGTTCAATACCGAGATCGATGAATCTATCATTAATCGGATATGGGGGAGAGCAAGTGAGTTCTTTCCTGCACTAAAAGAAGTATCTCTAAACAATTCGAGCAAAAGCAGAGAAGTAAGAGTCGGCCTGAGACCTTACAGTAAGTATTTTTTTGCTGAAACAATTTTTTTTCAACGTAAATAAGCATTTTGGATTACTGAGTTGTTACGATTTTGTCCTCAGTGCCTAGTGGAAAACCAGTGATTGGGCCTGTGCCTGGATTATCAAAGGCCTTTCTTGCCGCTGGGCACGAAGGAGAAGGGCTCTCACTGGTAAACTTTCTCCTCCACACATAGCATTTAAAAAATAAAACGAAAAAAAAAAAATCGTAATATGTGTTTTTTTTGGAATTTGATTAGGCTTTGGGCACGGCTGAAATGATTGTCAACATGGTTTTGGAGAATCCTCAAAATGTGAATCCCGCGCCTTTCTCGGTATAGGTTCGGCCTCTCTCTTCTGTCAGCTCTTACTCGATTGTTGTATGAAAATGTTCGGGTTGACTACGAGTGTTTGGTCAATGCAAAAACGGTATCAGTTCAAATCTCCTCATTTTCAGTATTTTCTTTCTGGTGTAGAATCTTTCTGATGTAGAATCCGTTGGCAAGAAAATATGATTTGTTGTTTGGTAGTTATTTTCAAATGAACAATTAACGCATAAACCTGAAAAACTCGAAATTGACCAGAAAATGAAAATTTTATTAATGCAATGCACTAAAATCGTAATTACTCATTAAAAAAAAAATGTAATTAAAAATAGTAAATACGAAAAATTACAATGAATGAGAAAAATAAGCTGAGGGTGTTTTTTCAATGTTAAAAAAATTAATTCGATTCTAGAAAGTATTATTTCAAATAGTCTACCAAACATGTACTGTAGTTGACTAGTGTGACAACGTGTTTCGGACCTTGATTCAATCAATTCAAATATTGGTCAGGTGCTTCTTCAGAAAACTATATAATTAAATAAAAATGACAAATTTGACTATATTTATTTATTTTTGGAGATAAAATTTGACTGAATTAGTAGAGCCTTTTTCTGGAGTTTGACTTTGACCGTTTCCAATTTTAGTGGCTTCCCATAAATTCCTCCCCCTTTATTTCTCATTATCCACCCCCTCAAAAAATATATTTCCAGAAAACGAATATATTCTGTAAATTAATTTAAAAAACCTCCTTATTCATAAAATAAATAAATAAAATAAATTGAAAATCTCCTTCACCATTCTTCTTCTTAGTTTCTGCCCTGCACGTTTGACAGAATCAGATTCTTCTCCATCTCTGCAATGAAGTAATCCACACAATCCCCCCCTTCGTTCCCGCGGCCAATAAATAAAAACCCTAATTCGACAAATTTTCCCTCTCCTCTAAACATTTTCTGAATTTTCAGTCGATTATTTTTTTTGTATTTTTTGCTTCATAAATAGATGGATCCGGCGGAGCTGCGTCGGGTATTCGGAATGTTCGACCGAAACGGCGACGGAAAAATAAGCCGTCGGGAACTGAGCGAGTCGCTGGAGAAACTGGGGATACACATTCCGGAGAAGGAGCTGAAGCAGATGATCGAGAAGATCGACGCGAACGGCGACGGGTTCGTGGACGTCGACGAGTTCGGGGAGCTGTACGCGGCGATAATGGAGGACGAGGGCAGGGCTGACGAGGATGAGGACATGAGGGAGGCGTTCAACGTGTTCGACCAAAACGGCGATGGGTTCATCACCGTCGAGGAGCTCAGGGCGGTGCTTTCGTCTCTGGGCCTCAAACAGGGCCGCACCATCGAGGACTGCAAGCGGATGATTAAGAAGGTCGACTTCGACGGCGACGGACGGGTTAATTACGACGAGTTCCGGCAGATGATGAAGGGCGGTGGATTCGCCGCCTTGAGTTCGTGAGTCATATATTATTACTGCAGGTGATTATGCATGCATGGTCGAACTCTCTCTAGTTACATTTTTTTCCCTATTTTCATTTGATTTCCATTTTTATTCGTAAAATATAATAAAATGTATGCGTGTGAATTTTGATATTCGCATAAATTAGTTATTACATAAAACTGTCTGAAATGTAAGAATTGTGACCCCACATATAATAGGTGTAGAAATGTGGAGCTTCAATACAAAATTAATTATTTTTTGTCATTGTGTATTTTTTTCACAATTTCATTCATTCAATAATTACACACACAACAAAATAAACAAAAAATAATAAAATTGAGGAATGTAATAATGATTATATATAGATCATCTCCGCAGTCGATAATACCAACGTTAGGTGGCTTTCCGACGGTCAAAAGAGCAGAGTTTGAAATGAGGTTTTGAGGGCGTACGTAGATCTTGAACTATCAATAATATAATATCGAATTTTATTTTACGAAAACACTATAAACAAGAATCGTACTTACTAAAATCAAGATCTTCTCTAGCTAGGTACATTATGAATCATGATAAAATTTCATTACATGAAATAATATGAAGTGTCTTTCACCTCACATGCCAAATTTAAAAAAAGACGAAAATAAACCAAACATATAATATAGTTCTACAAAATTACATGAATATTTCTTTGCTAATTAAAATACCATATATAAAAAATAAACAGAAACAATAATAAAAAGCTGTTACAAATAAAAAAAAGCTAAAACAAGAAGTTAAGCTAATTTTGAGCCAGCTTTTTTTTAGCATCTTTACCAGTAACTTCAACAAAGAAAGAAGCATAAATGGCGGTTGTCACATAAACCACAAGACCGGTCCCCACAAAGCAAACCAAAACCACCAGCGCATAAACCGGTTTCCCGCCACAAGTGTACGACCCGAGTTTGACCTGTATGAAATCCACTATCGAAAGCATCAAGAACACGCAACCCATCACGGATCCTATGGCGGATCCGAACAGCCCAAATTTGATCATATTCGGGTTGACGTCGGCTTTATGCGGGTCGCCCGGATCCATATTGTTCAGCAGGTTGATGGCGAGCTTCAGGCTCTGGGCGACGAGGGAGGAGAAGAGGAAGAAGCTGAACGACATCACCTCGAAGATGATCAGCCGCCGCACCGTTTCCGGGCTGGTGTGGCACTGCTGGGTGGCGGCGGCGGTGGCGGCTTGCGGTACGGTGAGGGAGAACCCGATGAAGGTTGCCATGGTGAAGAGGGAGTTCACGTTCACTATTCCGTCGAGTGCTGTCACGTGCACGCTCGTCTTCACGGATCCCAGCATGGTCACCGCCGGGTCCGCCGCCGGCGTTGCGGCGGCGGTGGTGGGGGTGGAGGTTGTGCTGGCGGAGGAGGTGCTTGACGACTGCGTTTCCATCCTGTCGTCGTTATACCGAAAATTAACGGAAACTAGTATATATTATATATATATATATATATATATATATATATATATATATATATATATATATATATATGTATGTGTGTGTGTGTGTGTGTGTGTGTAATTATTAAATATTCAAATTTAATTAGTGACAATTAGATTAATTGATATGAATTTGAGGGAAATAATGAATTTGAAATAAAATTCAAAATTCAATGAATTTGTTATTACTGATTTAAAATCGCCTCAATTCGAATCGGAATTTCGTAGATTTATAAATTTGTATCATAAAATTGGGAGAGAGGAAAGTATACGTACCCGTCAATGGTAGGAGAATCGAGAGGAGCTAAGGCGACGCGCTGTTTCTTCATCTTTAATTTCTTCTTTGCTGCAAATTTTATGTTTGCTTTGCTTGTGAATTGTGATGGCATATGTAAGTAAATGGTTATATATATATAAGTAATTACTTATTTATATTAAATACTGTACTAAGTACTGTACTCAGACGAGAAAAAAGATTGAATCTAGTGATTAGGGGGTAAGGTGCTTTTATTGACCAGACGATTGAATGTTGGTTCTTGATTCTTGAAAAAACATTGGTCTTGATTGCTTAATTTAATGTTGCAAGAAACATAGCAACACAATTTCTATTGGGTAACAGGAAATTTAATATTCATTTAAATTAAATAACTTGTGACTTTTTTGGAGAATTTAATTAATAAAATAATGCCCGGCTGCTATAAGGTATGTGTGACGCAGGCATGCTGGCTGCTGATATTTAAAAAAATAATTTAGCCATTATTATTTATTTATTAATGCTAAAGTTAATTACCAGGTCTATTTTCACTTTTGCTAACAATTGTATTATTATTATAATTAACGGCTAAAATAAAGTCTTTCAGAAATTTAATCTTATCTTACCTCATGGTTAATTTATTGTGTGTATATATATATATATATGTATATATATATATATATATATGTATGTATATATATATATATATATGTATGTATATATATATATATGTATGTATATATATATATATGTATTATAGGAAGATCTCCACGTTAAAAACTGGTTATCATTGAATTAAATAATTTAATCTTACCCCATGGTTAATAGTTGTAATTATTATTTTAATTTTGTCTGCATATAATTGTCTTGTAATGAAAAGTTATATCCACTCTACCTCGTTTGAATTAAATAATTTTTATATCAGAAAGTGTTATGTAATATCAATATGATAATGGTTGAAACCAAACCCACCCACCCCCAAAAGAAAATAAAAATAATAAAGAAATATATGCAAAATAATGTAAATCTGGCACATTTGGTAATTAATTGAGATTATACTATATTCAAATTTTATCAAATCTTTGGTAAATTATGTTTGCCTAAAATTCAAATTATTATGTACCAATTCCACTTATATTTTGGTTTTGAAAACGAGTTTGATCATTCTCGAAGTAACACGGTAGGCAAAACGACTATTTTTGTGCATTTAAATACTTATATTTATTATTCCAAATAGGATATGAGTTGGTAATCCACATGAACTAATATTTGGAAACTGGAATACTGCATTGAAAATATATAATTGATAAAAAGTTAGAATGAAATAGGTTATGTGCTTGTTCCAGGTCGGTTTTATCGGTTAACCGACCCACATCTCTTGACCGAAAATATATAATTTAGGGTAAATTGCAGCCACCTTCCTGAGTTATGGTCAAATTACAAAAACTCCCTCATGTTTAGATAATTACAACTACCCTCAACTATAAGTCTATAAATCTTCTTACACGTCCATCCTTGCAGTTTCAAATTTAATGAAATCTTCTAGATTATATGGAATATTCTCAATTTTTGACCCGTTTTATTCCATTTAAGGCTTCGAGCTCCATATTTTGAAGTTAGATGATCATAAGATGTGTTTTTTTGGCTTCTATA